ATCATCGATACGGAGTAGCTTTTATCATAAGCAACACTATTAAAAAATCAGTGTTAGGTGTGATTCAAATCTCAGAAAGAATAATAATGCTAAAAATTCAAGCACGGAACTGTAATATTAATATGATCCAAGTTTACGCTCCCACTGCTGATAAGACCGAAGATGAGATCGAAAACTTTTATTTAGAATTGCACAATACAATCAAGTTAACAAAATCTAGAGATATTACTTACATTTTAGGAGATTTTAATGCAAAAATTGGAGTAGGTACAGTTGAAAATATAGTTGGACAGTTCGGACTAGGAACTAGAAACGAGAGAGGAGAAAGGCTCATAGAATTCTGCCAAGAAAAGAATATGGTAATTGCCAATACTTGGTTTCAGCTTCCTAAAAGAAGACTATATACATGGACGTCTCCTTCACATACAGAAAACCACATTGTCAGAAACCAGATAGACTTTATACTCGTAAATAGCAGATATAAAAACTCTATAACCTCAGTTAAAACTTATCCTGGAGCAGATGTTAACTCAGACCACAATCCGCTAGTGGCTGACGTGAAAATAAAATTAAAAAGAATTGAACTCAGAAAACAACAACCAAAAATTAACGTAAGAATGCTACAAAACGAAGAAATAAAAAACGAAATAAAAAATAATGTGAATGTTAATATGCAAAAAACACTAACTGACAACAAACAAATTATGGATGTAAATAAAAAGTGGTGTAATATAAAAAACACATTACTGAAACCAGCTCAAGAAAGTTTAATAGAACATAAATCAGAGGCTAAAAAACACTGGATGACAGAAGAAATACTATTACTGATGGAAGAAAGAAGGAAATATAAAGGAAAAGATCTACAGAAGTATAAAGAAATACAACGAATAATTAAGGAAAAAATCAAAACAGCTAAGGAAATCTATTTGATGAAGCAATGTAAAGAGATAGAAGAACTAGAAACAAAATATGATATGAGAAATATGCACAAAAAAATTAGAGAAGTGACTGGAATGGGTCGAAATAGACAGCAAGGACACATAAAAGACAAAAAAGGAGTACTACTAGTAGATTTACCAGAGAAGTTAAGGCGATGGGAGGAGTACGTTAGAGAACTTTTCCAAGATGAAAGAGGTGAAATGCAGAAAATACAAGAATTAAATCCTTTAGAGATACAGAAGATCACGATAGATGAAATCAAATATGCTATCAAAAACTCTAAAGACAATAAGGCAGCTGGATTAGATGAAATACCAGTAGAACTCTTAAAACTAGTGGAAGAGGACAACTTGGAAGTATTGGCAGATTTATTCAACACGGTGTACGATACGGGAATAATACCACAGGAGTGGCTAAAGTCAGCATTTATAACCATCCCTAAAAAACAAGCAGCAAAAGAGTGCTCTGATTATCGAACACTGAGCCTCATGAGTCATACTTTAAAAGTTCTGCTAAAAATAATACATAAGAGAATATACGAAAGGCTAGAGGAGGATATTAGCGAGACGCAGTTCGGGTTCCGAAATGGAATGGGTACTCGAGAAGGACTATTTGCCATCAACATATTAATTCAGCGATGTCGGGATGTGAATGTTGATCTACACTTGTGCTTCGTTGACTACGAAAAAGCTTTCGATAAAGTAAGACATGAAAAACTAATATCAATACTTATGAACAAGCGCATTGACAGTAAAATCATAAATATAGTGCAAACATTATATTGGAACCAAAGTGCCATAGTTCAAATTGATGGGCAACACTCAGAAGAAATGAAGATCTGTAGAGGAGTTAGACAGGGATGTGTGTTATCACCACTTTTGTTTAACTTATATTCTGAAGAAATTTTCCAAAACACGCTCAATAATATCGAAGCGGGAGTCACCGTTAACGGAAAATTAATTAATAATTTAAGATATGCAGACGACACTGTGATCATAGCAACGAGTATAGAGGATCTACAACATCTTATCGAAAGCTTGAGTATAAATAGTGCTGAGATGGGAATTACTATAAACGCCAAAAAAACGAAGTACATGCTGATTACAAAAAGGCCACAAAATATACATCACCTATTGACAATAAATGGTAACGTGATAGAACAAGTAGAAAAATATCAGTATTTGGGAACTTTGATCAATGAAACCAATGATCATACTGTAGAAATAAACAGACGAATAGAGATTGCCAGATCAGCATTTATACGAATGAAGCCACTCCTAACGTGCAAAAATCTAAATTTGGAGATCAGACTACGTACCATTCGCTGTTATATATTTTCAATATTATTATATGGAGCTGAGACTTGGACATTAAAAAAATGTAATTTAAAAAGAATCGAGGCCTTCGAACTCTGGTTATACCGCAGAGTATTGAAAATATCATGGACTGATAGAATTACAAATAAAGAAGTACTGGAGAGGGTTGGTAAAGAAACAGAACTAATCACCACTATACAAACCAGAAAACTGGAATACCTAAGCCACGTGATGAGGGGAACAAAATATGAAATTTTGAGACTGATAATACAGGGAAAGATTCAAGGAAGAAGATCTGTTGGCCGAAGGCAGAACTCATGGTTAAAGAATCTACGTGATTGGTACCAATGCAGATCGATTGATTTGTTTAGAGCAGCAAGTTCTAAAATAAGAATAGCCATTATGATTGCCAACCTCCGTAGGGAGACGGCACTCTAAGAAGAAGAAGGAGAATACGGACTCTCTCCTAACCTATCAAAAAACCATTTTCATGAAAATTAGTAAGAACAACAATACAAACGAAATGTTAAGGGTAGGTGGCCAGCAGATTGAGATAGTAAAGAGATATACTTACTTGGAAATGATAATCACAGAAAATAGCGATTATACTGCAGAAATAAGAGTCAGAATTGAAAAAGCACGTGCCAACTTCGTGAAAATGAAAAAGATTTTATGCAGCAAAGATCTGACATTGGCCCTCAGATTAAGGCTAATTAAATGTTATGTACACAGTGTACTCTACTATGGAGCTGAATCATGGACATTAAACCAGAATACAATAAATCGATTTACGCGTTTGAATTGTGGATATTTAGAAGATTGTTAAGGATTCCATGGGTAGATAGAGTCACGAATAGGCAGTGACTGAATAGCAGTGTTAAGGAGAATAGACAGAAAGAGGGAAATGGAAAATACAATAACAGAAAGGAATTTGCAATATCTCAGACATGTGATGAGAGGCAGAAGATACAACATCTTGAGACTCATAAGTCAAGAAAAAATAGAGGGTAGGAGAAGCGTAGGAAGAAGACGCATTTTCTGGTTGAAGAACATGGTGAACATGAGTGGTTTGCATGGAAGGAAACATTCTCCAGATTTACATCAGGAAGATCGAGAATAGCACGAAGAACATGATTCTGTAACAAAACGAGGTATACAAGTTGCTCTCAATCAAAAATGGACCTATTATGTGATCTCCTAAAATGCCAGTCTAGACGTTAACTTTTTGAGGATGTTGAGTTCGGTAAACAACACTTCTGTGTTAGTTTTCCCGTGCCCAATACCTCGTAATGGAAGGATTGTGTGTCCCTACTAACGAAACAGAAAATTCATTAGTAAATAAAATGTTTTTAATAAAATTTGTTTATTATTAGCCTTCGTTGTTAACACACGTTGTTTCACAAAACTCCACTCTTCGAAAGTAGTTGTCTGAGAAAAGCTGCTGCGTTTTTGAATATTAAAAATTCTTGTAACCGTGCTTTTTTTACACTTTCGTTATAGTAACATTGCTAACATCTAACTCTCTGCCAACGCTTCTACTTGAACGTATTGCATCTACCTCGATTGTTGAACAAATGTGTGTATCCCGGTATTCTCTTTCCTAACTTTTTCTAGTGACACTTCTTAAGAGTGACATTTTCTGCAATTTTTGAGGCAATAACAACAATGAACAATCCTAACTCATAAAAGATTTATTTAAAAAATCCTTTTTAATAGGTATATTTTTATAATATACAATATATACCTAGTAAAAGCACTGATGATGGAATAGTCATTTCGAAAGTCGCTCTATGATGTAGCCCGAAAGGGTTTATTTCTACAAATATTCCTTTTATAAAGGATTTCTTTACATAAAACAATGTTTTATTATTTTTCATCTCTAACATATGGGTATAATTCTTGTTTACAACATGAGAAAGATCAGTTTATCGATGTTCTAAGTCATCATGTTCGATATCAAATCCAATCTTTAGTATTTCACTCCGTTTTGAGACGGACCTTAGTTTATTTTATCTTCAGATTGCTTTATGTAATATGTATAGGTTTATGGTAATAATGATGTTGGTGCACGAACAGATTTTCGTGGTTTGATGAAGGGGTGACAGTTTTCTAACGTCTCTGAACTCAATAGGCGTAGCTACGTTATGCCGCAATTTATGTTATTAGACCTTGTCTACCTAAATTTTATCTGATAAAGTAATAATGTATTTTCGAATTTAGATTAAATTATCATTTTAAAGCGGTACGATGGACTGCGCCATATTAAATATAACAATTAATATTTACTATATACTACTTAGTATCTTTGTAAAATGTACATCTCCACTTACATTTGTACACATAAATATTCTATTTTTAATCTGCCTGCAGGAATATTGTGCAGAAATGGGTTAAAGAAGATTGTCTTCTTGAAATTTTACTATTATATGATCTTGGATGAATGAGAATATTTAAGGACTTAGTCTACTTTAAAACGTATAATATATGTCTGAATTGTCAATATGAATAAGTCAGGAGTTGGTTTGACCCAGACGTGGTCACTATTTTCGAGTAAGATCTCACTATGTTTCCTTCTAGATAAATCTTAAATCATCGACGACATAATGTCTCTTTATTTTAAATGTATATAAGCTGTTTAATGTAAATCTTGCCTTAAGTAGATAATCTTACCACATCTTTTATATTAATAGTCAAAAATTACCTTGTTTTTTACTGAAATTAAAGAAGAATTACTTACTTTCAACATTATTCTCCGAATTTGCTTAGGAGCATTTCGATCCAGTCCCGCTGAATGTCTCTATTGTGAATATCATGAACTTCCCCTTTACCTTCATAGCAGTAACTACTCCTATCTTGTGCTAGCAGAATTTCATCGAATCCCACTAACCCTGTATTTGTTTTCTGACTTCGCCAAGACCTGGAATCGTAAACTTCTACTTTCAATCCCGCAGATCCTACAACCTTTGTACCTAGACACAAAAATGATCTCAAACACTCGCATCTATAAAATCAAAATCTCAGTCATTATCTAGAATACCTCTTTTTTATAAACACTTCCTTCTGTAAATTTAGTAAGCAATAAACAAATATTATTTTTCGACTAGCTTTCAAAAATATTCTGAATACATCCCATGTGCTTTATACTGATGCATCCGAAACGCAGATGGAGTTGGCTGTTCTGTCAGTACAGTTGAAACAATATTAGGACAATACCGAATATCCACGAATGTATTTTCGGGAGAACTCTTCGGTATTTCAAAAGCTCTCGAGTTCTCTTTTGACAATCATCAAAGTTTAGCTCTGTGCACCGATTCCTTGTCTGCAATTGAATCGTTAGAAAATATTTTGAATTAACATTACGTAGTGCAAAAAATACTTCAATCGATCCATCTCCACACTTCCCGAGGGACTGCAATAACAATAATATGGCTGCCTTCTCATATCGGCATCCAAGAAATAAGATGCAACTTTGGATTACTAAAGACACAAAGCTCAGAGATATACAACCTAATGTTAATATCTATTTATCCCTAGCAACCTTGAACATAAAAGAGAAGATAGCAATACAAAGATTAATGATAGGATACACACGTTTGACACATCTCTAATCGTTTTGACAAACCGTTTGTTATCTTATGCTCCCACTGCAGCAATATTCCTATTACCGTCAAGCACATCCTCACAGAATGTCAATACTACCAGGCCACTCGCATTGCCAACAAAATCCACAGTTTAAAAGAAATTTTGAACTGTTCAAGCCAACTTAAGAGCCTAATAGACTTCTTAAAGACTACACAATTATTTAACAAAATGTAATTTACATAATATTGTTATTCTTTACTAGTATGAGGTAGTTCTACTAACGTGAGGTTCTGTTGTACCAGAACGCATGCGCTAGAATAGAACTACTAGAACTACTTTGACATGTCAGCGCATGCGTTCATTGGTAGTAGAACCTTAACGACATAAACAATCATAAATTTACTTTGACATGTAAGCGCATGTGTTCTGGTAAAACAAACCTCACATTTGAACTTTCCGACAATCAAAAATTTAGTTATTGCCTACAACTCAAAGAATTATTTCATTTTAAATGTTGTTACATTGGGTTTTTTCGGTTGGGCTTGGGTACACCTTTACGTTTCAAGTTCAAAGCTATCACACATATCCAACGGTAACTTTTTTCACATAGTAACAAAAAAACCACTATGTTATTACTAGCTAAGTTTTTTTGAACATCCTAACTCTACAATTCTAAGTTACGGTAAGAGCTCCAGTGTCTTTTAAATAGATAATATATGGTAGCTAATTATAATTTCTTCTCCTTCAGCCCTTAAAAAACCAAATTAATTCTTTGTCGAAAACGTTCGGCGGAACAATTAATACTCATTAGAGTCTTTCTTGCAGATTTCCCCAATATATATATATATATATATATATATATATATATATATATATATATATATATATATATATACATTTCTACCACCATCGTTTTCTGTCGGTCCATTCATGGCTCTATCTCTCATTATGAGCCGTACATTTTCTTCCCAGGCAGCTGAAGGCCTTTCTCTCCTTCTTCTTTGTTGCTTTATGTAATTTAAAGCTTTCTTTGGTCATCTATCTTCATTCATTCGCTTCACGTGACCATACCACACTAGTTGTCTCGTTTCAATTCTGTCTACAATGGAAGATACAGTATTTGTCCTCCTTCTAATATCTTCATTCCTGATATGATCTTTTTTGGATACACCACACGCGCTTGTTAGAAAATCGATTTCTACTACTTCTATTCTTTTTCTATCTTTTTTCGTGATCTGCCAAACTTCTGAACCATAAGTCCTAATAGACTCTAGCAAGTTTCGATAAATTGTCAATTTCGTTTCTTGTCTAATATCTTTAGATAATAGTAGAGAGTTTAGAATGTTTACCGCTTTTGTTCCCTGCTGCGTTCTGTTTTCGATGTCTCTTTTGGTAGTGCCTTCTTTAGATATTATAGATCCGAGATATTTATATTCATTACATGTTGTTGTATTTCTAATTTCTTACTCTGGATCTTCTTCATAATCTTCTATTTTAAGATACTCTGTCTTTGACATATTCATATTGAGGCCTCATTTTTCATATTCTTTCTTTAGTTGTCTAAACATGTACTTCATGTTTCACCTGATCATCTGCAAAAATAAAGTTGTTAGACATTTACCACAAAAAATGGCCCAATTAAATAAGTACCTACTATAACTGACCATACATTTAATTTTTGTGGTCTTTGAGTATGGTTTTCACGCATTCAGTGTGAATTTCATACGAGTTCAGCTATTCAATACGAGTTCAACCATATGTTCACTTGATTTTATGTAGTCTGAAAGATCTTAAATACGTAAAACAGTGCAAAATATGTTGATTTTAATAAATTTAAATATTTAAATGGAGAATGCTGTGATTTTGACATTTGTTCACCATTTAAATTATGAACTAAAATTGACAGTAGTTGTGGTTCAAAAAGTTCTGCAATTTAAATTGCTTCTCTAAAATGCCGTTCTCTAAACCGTTCTTCTATTCATAAGACGACGGTACAAAAAACTGTAAGGCGATTTGAGGAATCTGGAGAAGTAAAAGATAGATACCGATCAGGTTGACCGAAACGAGTTATCAATGACAACAAAACTTCAGATATAAGCAAAGTTTTGTTAAAGATCCACATACATCCCCAGGCAGGGTTGCACAAGGACATGATGTAGGTCATTCTTCAGTCTTAAGTTTATTACGTAAAAATAAATTTAAATCATACAAAATTAACTTATTGCAAGAATTAAGTGAATATGGCTTTGGTCGTAGATTAGAGTTTACTGAGGTAATGATGGATAAAATTGAAAAGTATTAAAATTTCGTTAACAGAATATGTTTTTCCGATGAAGCAACTTTTACACTGTGTGGAAGTGACGTAAATTCACAATGAAGACTGAATGCGTGAAAACCATACTCAAAAACCACAAAAATTAAATGTATGGTCAGATATAGTAAGTTACTTATTCAATTGGGTCATTTTTTGTCGAAAGAAATTTAACGTCAGATAGTTGGTATAAATGGCGATATTTAGATGAGATATTTCCTGGACGATAAATTGGTAGACAAGATAGAATTGAATGGCCTCCACGTTCACCCGATTTCAATCTTAAAAATTATTTTTATTAGGGATACTTGAAAAATTCAGTTTACAAAACTTAACCAGCAATTCTTGCAGAGCTAAGGCAACGAATTATCAATGAATCTCGAATAATTTCTAGACAATCATGGAGAAATGTGGTAGACGCCTTCTACCATCGATTAGGGTGCTGTCAACTCACAAATTGAGCACATTTTGAACACTTAATAACGTAACTATTGTGAAAAAATGTTCTAATCTATGAATTGTTACGTTTTCATGTAGTTGAAAATAGTTAGCATTAAAAAATTTATTGAAACAATTTAGGCGTTGCCAGACTTCGGTTTTATGTATTTATGACCTTCCAGATTACATAAAATCTTAAGTGTTACATATGGTTAAACTCGTATTGAATAGGAGATTCCAATAATGACTGAATATACAGGGTGATGTATTTGAAAAACCAAAGTTACTAATAATATAAGAAAAACGGCAAATCTGGCAACATTGTAAATATCAAATATGGAATCTCCGTATCCCAAAATAGGTGTACCTCAAATTTTGTAAAATTATGATTCGCATTTTACGAGATAATTAGCCATTTCCAGACTTTTTGGCCACACTGTATATAACGATTTACTTCAAATGACACGCAGTGTATGTTTTCGCTAGAAAAACAAACAGTATAATTGCAATGCTTTTATTACTTCAATTATAGCAAAGATATTTATTAAAGATATGAAAAACAACAATTCCACTTCAACTTCTCTTCAAGAAATATACCTTCTAAAACAACGATTACTAACAACCACTCTTCAATTTTCGAGAGACGCTTGTTTTTACAATACGTTCGAACTTTTCAGAACAATTTCGTTTATTGTTAAACTAAGTGTGAATGATCGCCGGCAAAATTGTTTCAAAGCCAAATATTGTTGCCAACTTCTCACTTACAACACAATCCTCGAAAGTTTTTGAAGTAAACAGTTGAAGAGTTTTGGACAAAAAGAGCAAGATGCCGCTGTATGGATATCGCTACGAATCTAAAAACGTTTGAATTTTGAAAGTTCGCCCGCATATCTATTCAAGAAAGCGAAAACGTGTGCTTTCACTTATTCCCAATGGACTAAGTGGGATATAAAGAGTAACATATATGTATCGCTTTATAAAGATGTTTTTAACATACATATGAACATATGTTTGTGTCAGTATACTGATTACTAACGTTTCTTATTAGTAAGTTCAAAGTAGTTCTATTAAAACCCGTTGATTGCCAATCTACTTCATGTAGGCTCTCACCGGGAACCGATTACTTTTCTTAGTATATAAACCATTAGTTTTTACTTTGTGTAAATATACAATAAAGTACGTATTTTTAAATCAATTGTATATGTATCTAACTATGGTTAGGGCTGAAGACCCTAGTCTCAGTGGCTCCTGGATCTGTCTGGTATTTGTTCACCTAGGCGACACGACGCGCATGGGCGTTCTGCGTTTTGCTTGTTATTCTTCTATATATATATATATATATATATATATATATATATATATATATATATATATATATATATATAATTATAATAACTAACTAAAACTCTGGAAAAGGCTCAGAAACTGTTTTCTTGTGGCATGTCTAAATTAAATATGGCTATATAAGATTAAGCAACAATTGATTGTAATGAATATTACATTTGTAACTTCTGTTTGTCGTTAACAACTCGTTGGTTATACATTGTTTGCACAATTTTTTAGAATAATCTTTTTTGAAAACGATTTCCTGAATGGAAAGTGTAACGTCAAACAATAGTTAAAAAATTATTTTATAAA